ACGGCAAGAGGCGGGCGCAGACGCTCTTCAGCGGCACCCTCCACATCCCCCCCGGGGCCGAGGGCGCGAGGCGGGAGTGGCCGTTCGCCATCAGGATGCCGACGTACGCCGACCCCAGTCCGAACGGCTGGCTGGGCGGTGTGTCGGAACAGCAGCAGCAGCCCGTCAAGACGCAGAGGCTGCCGCCGAGCCTGTGGGTGCGGTCGGCGCTCAAGGAGAGCTACGTCGAGTACTTCATCCAGGCGGACCTGTGGTACCGCTCCCAGGGGTCGTGGGACAACGTCGCCGCCACGCTGCCCATCTACGTGCCCTTCATCCGACCGGGCCCCCCGCTGGTCGACTACCAGGTCGTGGTCATGGGCGTCCACATGTCCGCGTCGTCGCACCGGTTCCTGCCCGGCATGGGGGACGCCAAGCTGTCGGCCTCGCAGAAGATGAAGAAGGCCTTCAACATATCCTCGGCGCCCACGTGCGGGCTCAAGCTCCAGGTCGGCTTCCCGTCGTACATCCAGATCGGGAACCCGGGCGTCGTCCCCTTCCAGGTGCGGCTGGTGCCGCAGTGGGAGCGGACGAGCGAGGAGATACTCAACATCCCGCAGCGCGCCAGGCTGACGGGCATATCGCTGGAGATACTGTCGCACTGCCGGATAACGGAGCAGAGGGGGTCATCCACGGTCGATACCGAGTACAAGTTCAACATGGACCTGTTCGGGGAGAAGTGCGCCCTGCCCCCTCCGCCGGACCTCGAGATCCCATGCTCCGGGGCGGTACCCCCCATCGACATCGGCCAGTGCTGCGGGCTCACGTCGCCCTCCGACGGCAGCTTCGTCGTGCGCGACGGCATGCTCACCCCGAGCTTCAACACCTTCAACATCGCCCTCGCCCACGGCCTTGCCTGGACCCTCAGGTTCGAGATCGCCGGGGAGGTGCTCGTAGCCGAGGGCCTGCAGGCGCTGACCGTACTGCCACCGTGCGATCCGACGGAGAAGAACCTCCCCGTCCCACCGCCCAAGAGGCAGAGGCGGTCGTATTTCGAGACGGCCCCTCCCCAATACGACGCCGGCGATATGCCTCCTGCTTTTTCGGAGATCGAAGGTGCTGATAGTAGGGATGGGAGGGTTTCAGAGGAAGAGACCTCGAGTCAATTTCCGACCCTGACGACGGAATGAACTTTTTTATAATGTCTAATACCCCCAAGCATAGCATTGATATGAATTGAGCGCATTGATTTGTATTTTATTTACTTACTTCCCAATCAGCTGAAATGAACTATTTAACAAATTATCATCTTGCTTCCTAAATTTGTGAGTGAAAAAATACTTATGTTGGTATAAGGTTTAGGGTAGTGGTTAAGTCTCGGCACCAGACAAATGAACTTGACGCTGCAATAATGCCTGGATGACTTTAACATTATATCACATGAGTAAAAGAATACCAACGGATTTTTCATCTCAAATGAAGTCTTCATCCCCTTGCAAGTGCCTTTACGCCAATGACATGTGTTGGGCTCGAATCTAAGCTTGAATTTCCCTTTCATGGTGAAATATTACCGGTACATTCAGAAGGTTACGCACGTACATGGTGACCTTTTGCCAATTAGGATTTTCAAGAATCAGGAAATACATTTGCAGGAAATTCCTAGTACTACAAGGAAAACTTAGACAGCACGATGATAGATAGAGCGAGTAATTGCTGACCAAATTGCTCCCAATTATTCTGCCTAGAGGGTCTGAAGAGGCAGTAGAGGAAATGGGATTGCCTCAATGTTGGCTCCCAAGGAAAAGTTTTTGTGCAAGGCATAACTACAGTATATGTGTGCATGACTCTACCTACCTCCATAATTCACCTAGCTCCATTGTCTTCTCGTCCCCTCTTACTTGCCAAATGATGCCTTGTTCCCTCCCAACAAGTAAACGCACAGAGTACTAAACATGAACTAGTCTTCAAGCGCTGGCAATTCCAAAGACAGGATGGCAATATTATCAGTACTGCTCATCTCCTTGTCTGTGCTACAAGAAGAAGCACAGCCAACCTTGGGCAGGTCTTGGGCCTTTCAGCTGCCCAGACGCTACTCCAGCCACCCATATGTTGGACAGTATCAGGACCTGGTCTATGACGGTGACAATAGTAGTATTCAATAGAATGATCGACGCGGAATGGGCAGGTTTAGGGAAGCGAGGCAGCTCAGCTCGGCAACGTGCATCGGGGCTGGCGGCAGGTGGCAGATGCATTGTGAGAAGTCCCGGAGTCACTTTCCGTCACCCCTTGCAATAAAACCACAAATTTGATGTTGGTCTAGATCAAATTAAAAGGTCTTTTTTTCTTTTGGAGCCTGGACGAGAACTAATCAGGGAAGTTGGTCCAGACCATCGAAAGAACCGCCGTTGGTCATAGAGACAACATCAATAGGATGGCATAGGCAACAATAACCTGCCTATTCATGTTCCATATTAGGGCGTCTACGGTGAGAAACGTGCTTGTTGGCGCCCCCCTCCTCTGTGATTAAGCACAATGCACAATGGAGACAGGTCGGTGCAAATATCAGCGCATATTCACTCCGCGGCTGCCGGGAACACTCCCATATTAGGCAGGGAGCATGGAAGAACAGCGCTGAACTGTACCTGCATGCTGTGTAACAGCCACACTTCACCTCTGCATGGGTCTTCATTTCCCCTTTCTCCCGCCCAGCCATCTCAGAAAAAGAATTGTCCGAGAGCCATACCAGGGAGCGAGTCAGACGGGGCGGGAACGGGACGATGAAAAGTGTGACTTTTTTTTTTCTTACGGCACATAGGCTTGAGCACTTGCGAGGTCGCTGTGCTTAGTGTTCTTGGTCCCAGTCGCAGATCCTAGTGCTTAGTCGTCTGGTCCGGAACAGTCTGAGGCCAACACTATCAAGGGCACAGGTGGGGATGGGCAGGCCTTTGCTTGAAAAGCCGATGCTGGTATCCCTGCCCGTGATGTTGGATCAAGGCATGTGCCGTAGGCCCTGCCGTAAAGTGGGTGAGGGAGCCTGACTGAGAGGAGGAAAAACTGATCAGCCATTGCCCTGCATTTGGTGTGGTAACCACAGCGCTAAGGCAGGGGAAAGGGCGCGGGATGTCACCATTTACAGAAAAAAAGCAAACCAGCCAACGAGGCAGCAATGGGAAAAGTACTCTGGGTCGCAGTGTGTAACCGAACGGCGCCATGCCGTGGTAGGAGGGTCGCTGGCCGAGTCTGCATCACCCTAAGCAAGAAAGGCAGAAGCAGCGGATGCCTCAACAGACGCAGACCGAATGTAGAGCCCCTCAGTTACCGCGCGGTCCTGCTAAAGCGATTATTGGAAGTGGCTAACTGGTCTGTCGGTGACAAAGTGTGCAGTGCGTTGGGGCCATGCAGCCATGTGCAGTTAGGCGAGACACTATTGTCTAGTCAAACCATCTAGGCGTGCGCCATGCAAGGGGATATAGGCTTATATTGAATAAGATGCAGACTACCTGGAAATAGTGTACATAGTCCCTCTGGCCAGGCGTTTGCTGTGGGTTCTGGGCAGACGTAGGCCTGCGAAAGGGGCACAGCCCTCCAAGCGAGAGACCCAGCACCAACCCGTGGAGACTCTCAGCCAACATGCATTCGAAAACAGCCGAGTTTCATGTCAGCCTTTTCTTCTTCCTAGCTTGGTGTGTGAAGTTTTCGCCATTCCCGCATGTGGCCACCGGGTGCCTGAATGAGGGATATAAAACCAAACCTAACTCAGGCATGAAACAGGGGCACGGTCGGTAGCCGCCGAGGATGGATACACTCTAATCCACGAATGGTCTGGTCAAGTTCGGGATCATGGCAAGCAGGGATACACGATCCCCCAGGATCTTTCAAGACGATCCCAAAGTCTCCATTAACTCGTCCCGTCCTGGCCGGGTGTCCCGTATGTGTGCCCGGCAGATTCCACCATATTCTGCCAAAAGATGTGCTGGAGGGGTAGCCTCGGGTCCTCAGAGTGAGTTGGAGCCCAAAATACATCTACCCACAACAAACGTTGCTTTGGGAAGGACAAAATGAGGCTCTCCATGCATTGTTCAGTACAATTTGCTACCGGCATGGGCCTGCAAATAGCACACTATATGGGACTTAGATGCCACCCCTCTTACCCCTCCCCTCCAACAGCTTGCAGCCGGCGTCTGGGTGGCACATTCGGGCTTTTGAGCGCTTACACAAACGCAATTGTCTCCATTCCTGTCTCATCAGCCAGTCTGCTCATTGGCCCCGGACACGGGCCGGCTGTCTTGATGCTGGTTAGTGCGTTAGGTGCGTCTATGGAGCGACATTAAGGAGTAAAGGCTGAAACCAGCCACATGGCCACCAACAGTGACGGCCTCGGTCCCGCTGAATTGAATTGAATCGTGCCCTGCAAGAACAAGACTGATCTGATTAGCCCAAGGGGCCATGGCAAGAAACCAGGACAGGGTTCAGGATGCCCAGGCCAAGCCCCTCCTGCAGAGTGAGAGCCACTTTTGAAGCAGGCGGTCCGACCACGAGCTGGGCTGGGACAAAGATATAAAGAGCTGTGTGTACCCTCACCATCGTCAGACTCTTCTTTCAACAACATCTTTTGTTCCGCAACAGTCCTTCCTTGCAGGCAAGTCTTTCCTTCAAAAGCTCATCACTCCTTCAGAGAGTTTCTACATTCCTTGAACATCAACAAGCAACACATTTACATTCCTTGAACACCTGCGAAACAAGCTCGCACAAACACACACACACACACTCCTTCTATCTGCATCAAGTTCAGATCAACTACCATGCCTGCCTCATCTTCCCTGTCGCTGGCTTCGGCTTTCTTCGTGGCTCTGGCAGCCAGCTCCCCCCTCCGCCGCTCCCTTGAAACACGCAGCGTCTGGCAACCTGCTCCCGGCACCTCGTGGGACATCCAGCTCTCCGAGGAGCTCAAGGTCGACCTCAACAGCCCCTCGCTTCCCAACAACGTCGAGGTGATCGACATCGACCTCTTCACCAACACGGGCAACTCCTTCACCAACCCCGATGACTCCAAGATCAAGGCCCTGCACGCCGCCAACAAGAAGGTCATCTGCTACTTCAGCGCCGGCTCCTACGAGCCTTACCGCCCCGACAGCAGCCGATTCACCTCCGCTGACCAGGGTTCTGGCCTCAATGGCTGGCCTGATGAGACTTGGCTGAACCTCAAGAGCGAGAATGTGGCCAACATCATGCGCGACCGTATTGCTCTGGCAGCAAAGGTCGGATGCGACGGTATCGACCCCGACAACATGGATGGCTATGTAAGTCTCTTCCTCTTTGATTATGCGTCTTTCGCCAGTAACTTATACAAGTGAATAGGACAACGAGAACGGTATCGGGCTCACCAAGCAGGACACCATTGACTACTTCAAGAACGTCCTCTCCCCCGCCGCCCAGCAGCACGGCCTGGCCCTCGGCCTCAAGAACTCCATCAACATCATCCCCGACGTCCTCCCCGTCACCCAATTCGTGGTCACCGAGCAGTGCGCCGAGTACAGCGAGTGCGACCAGTACCAGCCCTATATCACCGCCGGCAAGCCCGTGTTCCAGATCGAGTACCCCATGGGCGAGAGCAGCTCCGCCGCCGCCAAGTCCCTCGCCGCCGACAGCACCAACACCTTCTGTGCCGCCCAGGCCAACGGCTTCAGCACCGTCCTCAAGCTGCTCAGCCTGAACAGCTGGGTCCAGACGTGCGGCGGCGAGGTCACCGTCCCTACCACCACCGGCCAGGCTCCCTCCGCCACCACCACTGCCGCCAGCAAGACCTCTCAGGCTCCCACCAAGACCACCAACGAGGCTGCCGTCCCTACCACCACAACCTCCACTGCTGCTTCCTCCACTGCCACCTCCGACTCTGGTAGTGATGACGAGGAGGAGGATGACTCCGGCAGCGACAGCGACAGCGGCCGTGGCAATGGCAAGGGCAAGGGCCGAGGTGGCCGCCGCAACCGCAAGACCTACAACCGCCAGTAGGCAAAACCAAGCAAGTTTGACACTGCTGGTTTTCCCGCTCCCTTTGAGAGGGAGCAACGACAGTGCCTACGACAATGAGATTTTTACGACCCCTTCAACTGATGCCTCCTGCCTCACGACAGGAAACTTTTTGAGAAAAATGAGGAAAATGGACCTTTGATTTCATGTAGCCGTGCTGTACTTTGACAGTCACACCTTCTAGAGCCTTGATATTCTTTTTAGGATTGGAATGATTACATGAATTATCTACAGCTTTGCCGAGTGCCCACCATGATGATGCCTTCGATGAATGAATCGTGAATGTCGGTCAAAGAACCCCAACTCCCTCCTCCCCACGCTCTCACCATTTAAACATAGTCGCTAGAGCCAGAAGTTTTTCTTTCTCCTTGCTTGCCAAACGTCCAACGGCTCGCTAGACCACTTAGTCGCCGTTAGCACGGACCCCAATTCGCCGCTTACCCCTTGGTTGGTGAAGGGCTAGATCAGGCACGGATCTCACCGGGCAGACTGCTAGTGGTCTTAGAGTCCTCGCTATTGGAGTCTTCCCCCTGCATCGCTGCGGGAATCCAGTCTGCAGGCAGCCAGAGACGGAGAATGGCTGCAGGTGAGGCGGTTTGTTCCCTCCCACTCACCGCAAGCCTCCATGGCGGCGCAACGCCTTCTACGTACATATGCCTCCCCCATCTCGGTAGACTTCCCAATAGTTATCCTAGGTACAGTTATCCTGGCTATTGGAGGCAGAACCAGTAGCCGCTACGCCACTCGGAACCTATGCAGGTAGCCGGCGGTATTTCTCGATAGCTCCAGTCCTCCCCGTACATGTCAGTGTTTCGACCCGGCTACACCAGCTTGTTCTGTTCAAGTTCAGGAACCCCTGCATGACGCATGCTTTTCCCTGCCTGAGTAATCGCTGACATTTACCCCGGGCCCCTGAGCGATATTGCATAGCGGCATCAATAGCTCCTCAAAGTCAAAACGTGGCGCTGAGGCAACTTCCGATCCAATCACTGCCTCCCATCATGCCCGGGCGAGGTGCAGATCAGTGTCATCTTGACTTCAAAACAAGACCCTCCCATCAAGATCAGGTATGATCGTCACCATAGATGTGATCAGCACCAAAGTAACTGGCGTTGCATGGTTCATAGTGGTGAAAGGCCGCCTGTCTCGACTTGTCTTGACGCTTCCAGCCCCCTTTTCTGATCCGTCCGCCTCTTTTCTTTTTCTAGGTACATCTCAAAACTTGGCAGGCCAAGCACGGAGTGGATGTAGTTTGTCGCCTAGATTCCTCTTGTCTAGCCGAGCCCAATGCATGCGTTACCGATCCCATCACACTCGGGCATCAACGCACAAGCCAGGGGGTTTTGCTGGTTGGTTTACATTTCGGACGAAGTTCGACCGGCCCTTCAGATCGGTATTAATTATGGAGTTTGCTTAGCCATCGCGGAGACTTTCTTCCTCCGCGCGAGTATTGCTTGTTCGGCTATGGCAACTCCACTCATCATGAGTGGGAGGCACCGTCTTGATCGTATTTGGTATGGTCGTCTGGTGTTTACTCAAGTATGGGGCGAAATTATAGTTGTCGCTCGGGTACAGTTATACATAATAAAGTTCAAGGCATATAATAGGTACTCAACAGCTGGGAATAACTCGGCTGGAAAAAAAAGAGGCTGGGCAATATATCTGACCAAAGGAAGTATTTCGAGCCTCTAGCAATCTTATTCTAATCACGCATATAATGTATTAGTTATTTGCAATAGATCTAGCTGACGAATATGGTAGGAGGAGATGCCCAGCGAGGCTGTCAGAGATGTATATACATACAGTTTTACAAGGAGAACCCTCAATCGGCCTGTAATTAAGCTAGAAATAACACCCAACCATGCATTACCATGGCTAAGCGCCTTTTTTCTTTCTCCTAGGAGGTTGAAATCACATTAGAAGGCTTGGAACAACAATCACTTTATAGTCAAAGAACGCTGGTTCTTCTGAGAGTAGAATATTCGACGATCTGGGAGATTAATCGCTAGAACGTTGAAGATCCTCCAGGATCATTTCTTGCGTCTGAAAGCTAAATGATTTAGTAGGCTAAGTGAGATTTGTTCGTGAATAGCCACGCTCCAACCTGTATATTCAAGAAATCTATTTTCAAAGAGCCAAGGGCACAATTGCAACCTCAAAGCAAAGCTAGAACTCGATAAACTTTTTATCCCTGCCGGGCATAACCAAGATCTAGATGAGATCGCAACCAGGATCACCATTATTAGTCAGACCCTTGCCTGAGTGCCGCTCCGCACACTGCCGTTAAACCTCGGCTCTTTCAAATGGCGAACTATATCGGTCAACGCCGAGAATAATATAAAACCAGGTATTGTCCCACTATTCTGTTATACCCTGCCCTTCAAGGGACATCAAACAATCCTACATAGAAAACATGTCCACTTCGCCTGACGTGAACCATTTCCTCTCGATCCCATGGTGTGCATCACTCATCGGGGACATAGACAAACTGGACTACATCTACCCCCAAGATGAAAACCCCGACATAGATTTATTTCACCGGCGACTTCTGAGAGTGGAAAATGGCATGAGCGCCTTCATGATATTTGCCAAACGCGCCCCTCAACCCACAGACGGATCCGATCTCGGGATATTCGCTATCCGGGAAATGACCCTCCTGGTGGACGTCGGCGTCAATGTGAGCGGGTGGGAGGGTGTCTGCCACGGCGGATTCACCTCGTTTCTGTTCGACATAGCCGGGGGCTGGCTTGGCCAGGCGAATGTGATGCAGGCCATTGCGGACGGGAGGATTCTGCCCAGCAGCGGATCAATGACCAAAAAGCTGGAGGTGGAGTACTTGGCACCGGTGCTCGTGCCCAGGGTCCTGATGTTGAAGTCGAAGATCAATAGCATCGAGGGGCGCGATATTGACATAGGGATAACTCTTGAGGATGAACGGGGGAAGATACTTAGCCGCGGAAGGTTGGCCTCGATTATCACTCAACCTAAAAAGGCCAGGATTTGAAGCTCTTCGTGTCCATGCTGAGGCCATGATACCCAATTCTAGAATTATTATTAACATAAATTTCACTTTACGCACTTTTGCATTAGGACCTCTTTATCTAAGGATCCAGTATGCTGGCAAGACATATCACGCGCATGCATCTCCCATCAATCGCGCCATTATGGAGAAAAGAGATCAGATCAGTGCGAATATAAAGCGAGTAAATCATAATTAAGACTACGATGAAAAGCTTTCCTTTATCTACATTTGGCGAGTTACCCTCTGCCTTCCAACCCGTTAACCTCCCCATTGTACCCCAGACGACCGTTCGGAACGTGGTCAAAGTAGAGGGGCTTTTCCTTACGATATGATTTACGAGAGCGAATTTCCATCAGGGTTGTCTTTACGTTTTGGTTCACTTAAGGCAAATCCTCATAGTTATAATTTGAACAGATTCTTCATTTGTGCTTGATATGTAGTGACTGTACGTAGCAACATAGATCCCAACCCCCAAAACCAAACGAGTGTGCTCAAACGATCTAATTCTAAATAAATACATGTCGCACAATGACACAATATTTCAGGAGCAAAGCCACAGTGAATGTAACAACCTGACCAGGCAGGCGGAAAGACGGCGCGAAATAAGTGAGTGTCTTATGTTCCAACTTTTCAACAATGACAACAGTTTGTAGAGCTCGTTCCATCTGAAAATAGTAGGCTCTTAGTCCGTTTCTCATTTCCGTCCGAGGACAGAGAAGGGCCACCTCCTTGTTCAGGCTTTCTCGGTTACCTGCTCGATTACCCCCTCGCATTTGACTCTCTGCCCTTTGAACCTTTCCGCAGGCCACCCCTGCATCGTTTGGTTTGCCTCCACAACGTCACCGCCCATGATCAGGGTGTGTTCCATCAAGCAACTGTCACTCTTCATCGTCGCACCACTCAAGAGCCTGCTACCAGTTCGCAGGACGCATCGGTCTCCAATCTCCAGCCTGTTCAGGTCAAACTTGCCTCGAGTGTTGATGTGAGCAACCACACTGGCATCATCTACCACGACTCTGTCCCCGAGGCTGATCAAGTCTGGCTCAGTGAAGGCCAGGCTAGGTCGCCCATTGGCAAACAGAGCACAGTCCTTGCCGATCTTGGCTCCCATAGCGCGGAAGTACATCACAGTCCAGTGAGTGCCAGTCAGCATTCCCAGCACGCCCCTGCCACGGTAACACTGGCGCCGAATCTTCTCGATAGACAGGAAGAGCTGCCATCGCTGGCAGTATGGAGACTTGTCCCAGTCGTAATTCCCAGGCATACGCCGTCCGAGCAAAATCCATTTCGCAGCTATCACGATGGCCACGGCCAGCACGGCATGCAGCGTGGTGAGGATCGCAATAACCACCCAGTTCAACAGGAAGATACCGAGCCAGTCGTACCAGAAGCTAAATTGAGGTACGAAGCGGCGCATGATCACATCAACAATCTGCGCAGCTGAGATGCTGGGCACGTTCCAGAAGAATGATGCGAATACCGTGAGGAATGTTGAGTAGCAGAAGATGGAAAACTGCCCAAATACGCGGTAGGGGGCGATCTTCATGTGAAATGCTCTGCCAAACGGAGAGGAATCGTTGGATGCCTCGCTTGAACTTCGCTCCGTCTCCGAGTCCGAGCCAACATAGCGCTGAGAAGTTCTGTATGACTTCTTCGCGGAGTTCCTTCGCGTCTCCGCGAGGGTGTCGTCGCTACTCATGTGCTGAACCTGAGATCTTGGCTGCCTCTTCTGCTCAACATCTTCTTCGACTTCTAATGTCGTTTCGCTGCCGTTTCGGCTACGGCGGGAAGCTGCACGGAATCTTATGGTTGATTTCTCACGACCAGCTGCCAAGCAAACAGAATCACCTCCCTTAGATCCAACGTAGGTGCCATCTGAAGGGTACAGTGCCCCACGCTTTGTGAGTGCGCCTGAGCCCATCACAGTTCTCTTCCCAACGTCAACACCAGGGAGAAGACAGACTCGGTCGGCAATCATCGCGCGATCGCGAACAGTGACTTTCTCAGACCCTGTTTTATCCGATGTGACAAGATGCGATCTAGATCCAAACACGACGTCGTTTCCAATGTCTATTAAATGATAATCTCCAATTGAGGGCCCAGTGCCTGGCCAATACACGCGCTTTCCGATCTTGCCTCCCAGCATTCGGATGGCCACGGAAGTGGCCTCGTAGTGCTGGCCGAATAGAGCAGTCATGTCATGGAGGCGTCTCTCAGGGAGCAGGGTTTTGATGAGGGATGCTCGCCAGGTCGCAATGGCTCCGCGGCCTTCCGCCGGTCCTCCCGTCATTTGACCAAATATCGCATCAAGACACAGCTTTACAAGAACGGTGAATCCAAATATGATGAAGGGGGACAAGAGACTTCTTAGAACAAGTGCTAGATAGTGATAGCCGACTCGATCGGCATCGGTGAACCAGTTCAGGATGGCGCGAATGGCCATGCTGCCCTGGGCCGGCTTATCGATCACCATGCCGAGAAGACCGGCAAACCAAGGCATCATGGCAGCGAAATTACCAATCACACCGATGGGAAAGGTGAAGAGTCCAGCCAGCAGCCAGTGTGGCTTTGGCACTCCTGAGCGCCCCAATCCGCGGTTGGATTCATCGGCATCGTCCAGCTCCCAACTGGAAGAGTTGGGGCCAATACATGTTTCAGCGGGGATGACAGATCCTGCAGCTACGATTGAGGATGTGCCGATATATGCATTCTCCCCGACGGTGATCCGGCCCAAGTACATGGAGGTGTTACCCTCAGCAGCAAACGGACGACAGATACACCCTGCCAATGTTGCGCCATCCCGTATGTCCAGTAGATCCCATTCGCCCAGAGACGCTTTGGCAAGCCTCACATCCTTTCCAACGCGAGCTCCCATGAGACGGTAATATATACGCATAGTAGCCTCAGATGTAGTGAAGAACCCGAGACCACAGATAGCGTGGATCTTCTCGACAAGCCACCATCTCGTGTGATAGAGTCCCCACATGGGATAGAGGCCTTCGCGGTAACGACCGATAATCAACCACTTGGCCAAAATGCCGACGAAGGGGGTGAAAGCCCGCATCACCACCCCGGAAAACAACAACGAGAGCGTTAGGTTGAGTAGTCTGCCGACCAATGATTTGTTGGTGGGCCAGCCCTGGGTATACGAAAGGCCTAACATGAAAAGAGACAGATGCAGGGCCCGGCGGAGCGGGTATGCGACGACCATCGGGAAGAGTTGCAGCAGCATCAAGAAGGGATTTGTGGAGCTGTTTGTTACGGCACATCCCACAGGCTTGGTATTTACTTCTTCCTCCTCTCCTTGGAGGCCTTCAATGTGCGCGGTTATAGCCTTCACTGTTCCGTGATTGAAGATAAGGTTGATGGAGAGATGGACATTGAAAGTAGTACGAAGGAGTGATACCAGACGACCAGCGCGAAGCGAGTCACCTCCAAGTCTGAAGAAGTCGGCATTTGGGAACACGTCGTCTGGCCGACATCCCAAAACGTCGGCAAAGGCTTTCGTTACTCTGCCTTCTACAGAGGCAGTCAGCTTAGCCAAAGTCGCTTCCTGAATCTCGTTGATGGCTTTGTCAAGCTTCTTTTCATCCACTTCGCCACCAGGGAGAGTGGGTAATGGTTCCGTCATCAACTGAACTTGATCTGGCACCAAGTAGTTATGTAAAGAGTTTGCCATGTGAGATTTGACGGTATCTGCCAGTCGAGGGTCTAAAGCAGGCCCCCCAGATCTGCACGGGGCAATAAATAGGCTAGCGGCAGCGATGTCAGAAGAATTTCGGTAGTGGTGGCGCAAGTTTTGAGGAAGTATCTCCTTCAGGCTGTGATATACAGCGAGATGGTCGACTTGACATAACATGGATGGTATTCCGACTGACAGTGCTGTATCCGGCGGTGGGCATCTAGCCTCCCAATGTCGAGCAAGATAATTCGTCTCATCGCTCACACCTGGTAATTTTAATCGCTGAGAGAGGCTTATGCGCAACACCTTATTGTTCTTCTTGGGTAGGTCATCCATGTAAACAACTAGCATTGGCCACTTCACCTGTTGTAATGAGGACCGCAGAACAGTGTGAAGAGTTCTCAGGTCAACTCTTGGGACGTTTGGGGGCGTGACCAGCACGACTGCCACCACTTCTTGAAGCACATCATGGCGAGCAGAAAATGCAAGAACTTGACTGATACGTCCCTGTATAGAGCTCTCTGCTGATATGGACGCCGATAAGATCGCGTTCTCGACCTCGAAAGGAGAGATCAACTCTCCGCCACGGTTGATAACCTCTTTACTTCGGCCAGTAATGTAGAGGTAGCCCTCTGGATCCATGTAACCCAAGTCACCTGTATCAAACCACCCGTGCTTATTGAAGGGGGATTTGTCGTAGGTTCCATCCGACATCAGATAGCCGGGGAAAACAGGTTCGCCGCGCACACAGATTCTGCCAACGGCACCACATTCCACTTTCCCCTCATTCCAATCAAGAATGGCCAACTCGGGGCCGGTACTGATGCCAGACGTCCCCTCCCTATCAAGTTTGTAATCAAGCGGGGGAGTGGAAATGGGCATGCATCTATCGTCAGATTAGTACAACTGGTGGAAAAAAAGACCTTCTAACGGGAGGGGAACTGACTCTGTCATTCCGTAGCTGGGGAGAACCACGCATCCGAATGTGTCGCGGAGCTGATAGGCCAAGGAGGGCAACAGTCCACCTGCCGCGTTACACGCAAGTCTTATTCGACTCTTTTTCAGAGACTCTTGGCGTGTGGAAGCTTGTTCGAGGATCACTGAATGCATAGAGGGAGAAGCATAGTACCAGGTAGGATGTAGCTCCTCCACAACATCCCAAAACATGTTGGGGTCAAACGCAGAACAGCATATGGTCGAACCGCCAGAAAATAGGGGCGCAAAGATGTTTCTAATCAACCCTCCTCTGTTATTGTTTAGTATTGGTCTCAATATACACACGGTAAATAGGTGGTACTTACACATGATACAAGGGCATCATGTTGAGGCAGACATCCGTCTCAGTCAAGCCCCAGGATTCCATGACAAACAAGATACCAGCAATCATCGAGTGCACCGTGATAGGCACTATCTTCTTCGTCCCAGACGTGCCGCTTGTGAATAGAATTAGGGCGATGTCGTCGGCTCGGTTAGGCTCAGGCGGCTTTTCGGAGCAGACCAGGGCCCGTCCTTCCAAGGACCTCAGAGCTATCCCGTCTCTTTGATCCCAGTCCACCAGCACGATCTCAACTCCCCTTGAAGGCGCCCATTCATGTACCCCCAGCTTCTGACAGTCGTCCAATGTCGTTAAGATAAGACTGGCGCCAGAATTTTCGACATCTGCCCGAAACTGATCCTGCCCTGCCACTGGATTAATCGGGGCTGCGGTGTAGTGGGTTGCCACCGCGACACATGTGGCAGCGAGAAGTGGCCCATTGGGGAGGGCGATCGCGACTGTGGGCTTTCTCGGCGCATCGCTTGTCGGTAGACGAAAGTTGGCGACATACTTGGACAGTCCATGGTGGGTGATGTAGCTTCGTGAATCTGTCGCGAGGAGAGCAGGGCGGGGAGCGTCTCCCAAAAAGTCACCGATCCCACCGTAGGATCTTTTTACCAGCTGGCTCGTGGCATCGACAAGCCATTGGAGTTGTTGATCGCCTTCACCACTCCTAGCACTATCAGGCAGGTACTTGGAAACTCTGGTGTGGCACTTGACGAGCTCGAATGTAGGCCATGGTCCAGGAAGCTCAGAAAGGGCAACGTAGAGCAGGTGGAGTGGTCGAAAAGAAGGATGGGATGGGGCAGGGATAGACTGTAGCAAAACAGCTTTCGGCAGGCATGAGCTGCTCACCCACGGGCTATGCCTAACTTCATCAAGCGGGCGTTGGTAGAGCTGAAGCAACTCGTCCGAGAGCTCTCCGGCAAGAAGCGACTCTGGATCCATGGACAACTTCATGTTGGCACGGTCGAGACCACAGCTTGACCCCTCCAAAGCGTCACTTGTTGTTGTAGAGGGTTAGATGCCAAGAAAGAGGACGTGGGAGGAATTTATCAATGAATCAAAGGAGCTGATACATCAGAAGTCTAGAACAAACTTTGCCATATAACCCTTCTTTCCCGAGGTATTATTTCCTCATATATGCTCTCACACACTCCAAGATGGAGCAATGGCAATCCCTCTTCCGCCCATGTTTTCCATGATGAATCATGAATAAACAAGGTAAAAATATCACATACCAGTTGAAGGTCAAAGAAGCAGGATCTAGTATTACCATCATGTCACTGTCGAAGCTGGAAAGAATGAGAGCACGCAGGCCTCTGGCCGGCAATTCTGAAACGGGCCTCGCAATACTGATCCACATGCTCGTGAAAAACAACCGCGAAACCAGAGAGCGGAAAAAGAAATGAGGCCCATGATGTTCCCAAGTGACTGGCCCGGAAAGTGGCCGCTGAGACATGTGGACCAACAAAGGGGCCACTCGTGGCCTAGTGTCTTCTGCCGCGTTGATTCAAGCTCATCAACAAGCTTCGAGCTTCTGCAGGATGAACGCATATGGCACAAGTCACATATGATGACCCGAATTCGCGATGGTCTAACGGACAAAGCCCCTGGATAGCATGTGCCTAGCTCGTTGTGTCACGCCCACTGTCAGGAGAAGTTCAAGAGAAGCGGACCGTGATGGCGGGACTAGTCAGATAGCTCCCAAGGCTCCTTATCCAAATTCTTGGTAGAACCATCTTCGTTGGAATGCGGACGCGTTTTTAGTGGTCTTCAAGAAGGTTTTTACTCCTCTTCTCGCAGGGCCACCATGAGGCCTGCGGGCTTTAAAGCCATTAGGAGCCGCCGACTCTACAAATCGAGATGGGCGGAAAGGATATGGCGATCGAAGATCCATACCAATGCGGTGCATACCGGACGATATCCATCATCTCCCGCCCAATGAACAAATCCATGGCCCACGGGAAATGAAGTTTCTGCATGGCGATCTCGTAGCAGTTGTCGATCAGACTGCATCTCAGTATGCTGCGGCCGGCAGATCAACAAACGAAGCAGGCCAGTTCATCCGATTTCCATAGCTCTCATCCTTATCTCTCATTCCCAACCACACTTAGCCTTGATTCGGGAATTTTGGCGTGGCAGGTTGCTCTCATCTCGAAAGAAGAGACGGAGATAACGCCCTACCACGAGGTAAATGACGACTTTTTTGTCTTCCACAAGGCGGGAGGGTGCAGAGACGTCAATGATCTTCGTTACCAGACGGCAGGGTTGACTCACCACCTACGTCAAGGGCGTAGGAAAACAGGTGTCTCCTGTTTGATCTTCCAAATCAACATCCCGTTGGGTGGTCGCAGGATGCCATTGCGAAGGGACGTGTGCAAAATGATTTCTCCCTTGTGTCATCAGCAATTCTTGTTTGATGTCCAATCAGTCGGGGCAAGAGCGAGCGGTGTTAGTCGTGGTACGCGAGGCTTAGTCATCAGCTTGCGATAAGCTTTCTGATCTTCTCACTTGCGCCAAGCTGCTCAGCCCAGCATCATCTCCCAGGCTTCACTACCCAGCCATCAAGTATCGAGTTCAGAGGACTGGATTCTTCCTGCTATTTCCAAGATGGCCTCCACGCTACCAGTCTCAACGTTCGTGTCATTGCACTCCGACACGCGACGTGACGATGTTGGCTAACCTCATTTCTTAGGGTCTACGTACAAAATCTCGAAGAGCGCGTCAAGCCCGACGCACTGACCTATGCGCTCCGAGCTATCTTTGAGGAATTTGGAAATGTGGTCGACATCGTAGCGAAGAAGAACCTCAAGGCCAAGGGTCAGGCCTTTGTGGTCTTTGACGACCCCCAGAGCGCCCAGACTGCCATCGAGGAGGTGCAAGGCTTCCCTCTGTTCGACAAGCCATTGCGTGTCGCAATGGCGCGATCAAAGAGCGACAAGACAGTCGAGCTTAATTGCAGCGGCGAGGAATTAGAGTCTCACAAGCAACACCGCCAAGCTGAGAAAGGTAGGCCCGGACCACCCAAGAAATTACCCTGGATCAACGAGGCTGACTTTGAAACCCCAACAGAGAAGAGGCAGGCCGAGGAAGCTGCCGAAGAGCAAAGGCAGCTCAAGCGCGCCGCCGGAGCCCCAACAGACCCCAGACCGATCAAGGCTGCCAGGCCATCTGGCCTCAAGTCGACCAGTGTCGCTACCTCCTCAGTCGTACCAGACGAATACCTTCCCCCGAACAAGATTCTCTTCTTGCAGAATCTCCCCGACGCGTCCGACGTGGATGCTCTCACCGCCATCTTCTCCCGCTTCGAAGGTTTCCGCGAGGTAAGAACGGTGCCGGGACGAAGAAACATCGCATTCGTAGAATACGAGGCGGAACAGGGCGCCATTTCGGCCAAGGAGAGTACCGCAGGCATGACTTTAGGGGACAAGAACATCAGAGTCACATACCAACGTCAATAGTGGAAATAATGCTACCAACTGTAATAATACGCCAGCTTAGGAAGGAATTCAATAGCAAAACAAGCCTCGTACAAGACCATTGATGTACACCCAACATTGATGAGCCTCCTAACGTGAGAACAAGGCCGTAGTGACAAACAGAGTGGACATGCCGTTTAAAAAATAACATCGTCATCGTCTTCCGCAGCCAGCAAATCGGCAGAGCCTACAGCCTTGTCATCTGCTGCTGCTGCTGCGGCACCTTTCTCTGCGGCCTGTTTCTCTCTTCTTGCCTTCATCTCTGCATCTTGTGCAGCAACATCCCGCTGCTTCTTGTTCGCGACCTATTTTGCATTAGCGCGTCCTGGTCCAGCAAAGGAATCTCAAGTCGTAGTGATCACAGACCTTCTTCAACCTGTAGAACTCCTCACGGTCAAGCTCGTCAAGCTCTGAGTTGATATACTTGATGGTATTCTCTGTGCGAGGAATAATGACGTGCTCAATCGCATTGACTGAGAAAGAGTCAGTAAAGAAGACAGAGAAGATATCCAATCCCAATAACATACCTCGCCTGTTGACGACCTTGATCACCTCATCGAGGATAACGAAGGCAGTTTGCAGGCTCGCCAACTCGACGAGCGCTTCCACTGCACGAGCATAAGTCTCTCTTGCTCGCTGGACTTGCTGACCTCCCTTGCCGAGACCAGTCAGCCCGAAATCGTTGTTGCCTTCCGTCAGGTAGCTCTCGTATGCCGGAAGTAGGACACCCGAAACGTTGTCTTGCTTCGTTCGGATCCTGAAACGGGCAGACTTGGCTGACTCCTGCACCTGGTAGCCAATGTCTCCTCCAACGGCGTACGTTACTTCGGCGAGGGAGAAAGCGGCAATCTGCATAACACGTCCCATCTTGCGCTTCGCTTCATCGATTCGCTTCGTGATTTCTATGCATCAACAAATTAGTGCCCAAAACGGACGGATCACGATCGATATGTGTTAGCAAACCTCGGAAACGCCTAAGATGAGGAGGTAGAGTTAGCTATATATCCCAAACAGATTACCAGCGTAGACAGGGAAACATACTTTGTCAGGGCTTCACTCTTTCTCTTGAGCAAGCTATGACCAGTCTCGGCTCCCTTGAGCTTCGCCTTCATGATACCCAGCGATTGCCGGGTCGGGAAGACGGGCTCACGATCCTATTCCAACCCATTAGCTAGCTGTCCACTCCAACCAAGCATTGACCCAGTGGCATACCGCGGCGCCCGACATTGTGAATAAGGAGCGGAATTAGGAAGGTTGTTAGAATGGCTTCCTAAGAGCCGAAGGACAGGTCTCGAACGGCCTCGATGTTGCGCAGGGGATGGAAGCGCCAGCTCGGGCTCGGCAGTACGTATCGGCGAGGTTATCGAGCTTGCAGCAGTAGCAGCATTGGCGCCTCTCACAATGACGGAGCAGGTGCAGCGCATCAACATAAGCGTCCCCGCTATCAATGTTGCGCCACACCAGCCACCCTTCAACAAGGCCCCGGGCTTGCATAAGCGGGGCGCAAGGTACATTTTTATGAGCCCCATGACCGATCGCCCTCATAAAGCGGAAAATATGCTTGTATCGGAGTTTAGCTAAGAATTCGCGACAGGCTTCATCCGGCAGGCGCGTAGACTTTTGGGATTCAACCTTAGCAACCCACTGTGTTCCGAGTACGTTGCGCAGGATCCGGCCGCAGCAGCAAACGAAACGGCGCAGACGGGGAACCGCGGGTCCCCAAGCTTGCTCTTCACCAACTGCGACTTCGGGAACAATGAGCAGCTTGTTATAGGAAAGGATCTGTGCTGCGTTGTCTGCACCCAGACGCTGCTACCATCGCTGGAAGCCGCCTCAGCGCCCAGATTCGTACGAAATCGCAGCCCATGATGGAAGTCATTCCCTCGGTGACGGTCTCAGGCCGAAGACCTGAACTCAGCCTTCTTGTAAGTGAACACCACCATGCTCTGATTTCTCGTACCCGACGTGGGGCAGCAAAGACTGATTCTGTTACAGTCCAACGAGGACTCCATTTACGAACAAGATATCCTTCGAGAACCCGCCAGCATCAAGCCATGGCTAGCCTATATCGAATTCAAGAATAAATATGGATCACTCCCCGAACAAGCCTTCGTTATGGAGCGGGCTTGCTCCCAGCTGCCCCGATCGTACAAACTCTGGAAGCTCGTAAGTAAACTGGCCTTGTCCGTCGTTCTGCGTATGGACGCTTTGTTAACAGTCATAGTATCTCAATTTCCGGACAAAACATGTCGCCGATCTCAACCCTGCTATTTTTGCTGGCGAATACCGAAAGGTCAACTCGTTGTTCGAGAGAGCGCTGATTTTACTGAACAAGATGCCACGGATTTGGGAAATGTACCTCAAATTCCTCATGCGGCAGCCACTTGTCACCACAACGCGCCGAGCGTTCGATCGGGCGTTGCGCGCGCTACCCATCACCCAGCACAATCGGATATGGGCACTCTTCCGACCGTTCGCGAACTCGGCCTCCGGGGAGACCGCGGTGAAGATCTGGCGCCGGTACATGCAGGTCCACCCAGAGGATACCGAGGACTTTATTGAGTTGCTTCTGGAGAACAAATTGTATACCGAGGCAATCCAACAGTACATCAATATCCTCAACAACCGCCAGTTCGTGAGTAAGCAGGGCAAGGGCCATTACGAGCTGTGGAGCGAGATGGTCGATGTGTTGGTCAACCATGCCCCGGATATCCAGGCAAGTTACGACACTGGCGTGGACCCGGAACAGATCATCAGGAGTGGCATCGCTCGGTTCGCCGATCAAAGGGGTAAGCTCTGGGTCGGTCTTGCGACCTACTGGATGCGAAGAGGGCGTTTCGAAAAGGCGCGCGATGTTCTTGAGGAGGCCATCACGACAGTGATGACTGTAAGGGACTTCACGCTCATATTCGACTCGTACGCGGAGTTTGAAGAGTCGATTCTAGGTGCACTCATGGACCGGGCGGCTCTTCGAACGGAGAAGGGTATTGAGGATGTGGACGCGGACCTTGAGCTTGATATTCGCATGATGAGATTCGAGCATCTCATGGATCGCCGGCCATTCCTGCTCAACGATGTTCTTTTACGCCAGAACCCGCACAACGTGTCCGAGTGGGAGAAGAGAGTTGTTCTTTGGGGCGAAAACACACAGGAGGTCGCGCAGACGTACACCGACGCTATTGCGGCCATCAACCCCAAGCGAGCCATGGGGGCTTTCCATCAGCTGTGGGCCAACTACGCCAAATTCTACGAACGGGGAGGCGATATTCGAAACGCCCGCGTTATCATGGAGAAGGCCGTCAAGGTGCCTTTCAAATCTGTGGCAGAGTTGGCGGACATGTGGATCGAATGGGCTGAGATGGAATTGCGCAACGAAAACTTCGACGATGCAGTCCGCATCATGGCCAAGGCAGTCCAGGCACCAAAGCGATCGACAGTGGATTATTTCGACGAGACTTTATCCCCACAACAACGAGTTCACAAGAGCTGGAAGTTGTGGAGCTTCTACGTCGATCTTGTGGAGAGTGTGTCTACCTTGGAGGAGACCAAGAAGGTCTACGAAAGGATATTCGAGCTCCGGATAGCCACGCCGCAGACCGTGGTGAACTACGCGAACCTACTGGAAGAGAGCAAATACTTTGAGGAGTCATTCAAGATCTACGAAAGAGGTTTAGACCTGTTTAGTTATCCTGTGGCATTCGAGCTCTGGAACTTATATCTCACCAAGGCAGTTGATCGCAAGATTGGGATCGAGCGACTGCGTGATCTCTTCGAGCAAGCAGTGGAAGACTGCCCTCCCAAGTTCGCAAAAACGATATACCTCATGTATGGCAATCTGGAGGAGGAACGTGGCCTGGCGCGTCATGCAATGCGCATCTACGAGCGGGCGACACGTGCCGTGGCCGACGAAGATCGTGCGGACATGTTTAACTTCTACATCACCAAATCTGCGTCCAACTTTGGTCTCCCATCAACACGGCCAATCTACGAGAGGGCCATCACGGTGCTGCCGGATAGCGAGGCCAAGGAAATGTGCCTCAAATTTGCCGATATGGAGAAGAGACTGGGTGAGATTGACCGTGCCCGTGCCATTTATGGGCACGCATCACAATTCTGCGATCCCCGAACGAGCCCAGAGTTCTGGACCAAGTGGGAACAGTTTGAGGTGCAGCACGGAAACGAGGATACATACAAGGAGATGCTGCGGATCAAGAGGAGCGTCCAGGCGCAGTACAACACTGATGTCAACTTCATCGCCTCTCAAGCACTGGCGAGAAGCCAAGGCCAAGCGCGCGGCCTCGATGAGAACGACGGAGGGGCTGATGCTATGGCGGCACTTGAGAGACAGCTCCGAGCTCCACAAGGGTTCGTTCCCTCGAGTAGCGGGCCCGTTGGCAATGGCGCAGCGAGCAACGGTGGACCAGTCGTGCCAGCCAACCCTGATGCGATTGATATTGATGAATAACGGTTGTATATTTTTGGGAGGACTTGGTGGAGGCTCTTCAAATCTTGCTTTTCCTTTGTATTGAACACACAGACGCATACTGCTTATTATTCTTTTTCTTTTTCTTATCTTTAGGGGCTATTTTTTTCCATCGATGAAGACACAACTGGCAGAGTTAGTCGCCATGAATGAATTAAAGCGGAATTGTCGAATTCTTTCCTCGGTCCCCCTCTCGCTCATACTGTACAAAGACACTGACAAACAGCGATCCCCCGACACAGACAACATGGCACGTAAAACATGGCACGTAAAACAAACACTAATCAAACACTTATTTTAAACAGATACGCGATGGCTCCCATCGATCATCGTCGGTTGTCGCGGTTGTCGAGGGCATTCTTGACATGACTGTACTTCTCGGCAATCTTTTCATAGTACTTGTCCTGACGATTCCTGTCGATATGGCCATCGCGCGAGCTGGGGGTGGCATAGATCGAGCCCTTGCGCTTCTGGAATTGGCTAGGGACAGTCTTGGCAGCATCTGGTTGGCCGTGGTGTTAGTGAATACTTCAAGTAGGCAAGGGGAGTTGATGAGAAGAACGCACCCCATTCATCACTCATTCGTCGATCCTTCTTCATACCAGCGGCAATAGGCGACTCATTGGCTAGAGGAGGAGAGCCGACGGCGGTGCCGTCAAAGGGGTTTGTAGTAGCACCACTGAAGGGATTGTCGTGGGTTTGGTCGTTTGAGTGGTCCATAGTGATAGAATTCAAGAAGGTAACACTTGTATTATTATTAGACAGAAAAAAGGAGGTAGGTCGATATTTTGTGTTCTTGAGTTCTCGTAGCGAAAGGGAAGCGTATAAGAGTTGATCAGAGAGAGAGAAAGCACTGGTGTGGCAAGGGATAATGGGGGGGTATTATACTTGTCAGTCTTGCCTCCGGATGGCGGATAACGGATAGCATGACGGTACCTCTTGCTGAGGATCGATCTCAAGGAAGCTAGTACGCAGTCATACAAAGTATTGATGATGAAGTCTTAGGGCAGCACCGAAGCTTTTGGATGGGCACATGTACCGGTACATGGCATGTATCAGCCAACGACAGTACATGGTTCCCTCGGATGATGGCCAATGTTACCCTAGCTGCATGCTGTGGTGTGAACTGCCTGCTCAATGTGTGATTTTGCGCTGACCGGTCGCTATTGATGCTCGGCTTCAACCTGACAATTCCTTGGCCCGCGCCTTTCCGTACTCGAATCGTACCGATCGATCTCTACAGCCTGTACCTAGCGATCATCCAGAAGATCAGAAGATGAAACACTGCTTGTCTTGCACAGCAGCGAGGAGCAGCGCCTGTGTACCGAGCAATGAGCACATGTCCATCTACGAACTACGATCGAACCACTTGACCTGATCGTAGCTCCAGGCCTCCGATTAGACAAAGGCAGAGCTCCAGCAGGCTACGGGGTATCGCCTGACTGAAACACTGCCATCGACACACTCCCCCGAAATGGCAGTAAGTTCACGGTTACCCCGCAGAGTTACGCTCCCCCAGTACCACATCAAGGGTCAAGGATCAAGCGATGGCGCTTGTCACCCTCTCGCCTACCATCAACCACTCCCTCTACGGCCATCCCGTGGAAGTTGCCTGAACAGACAGCCAGAACCCAGCGAATCAGATTAGCGTGCCACCCAAGCTACCTGAGCTATCTTCAACCTCCGGCGCTCGTTGGTCGCGGCGGGCGCAGCATCATCGCCATTGACGTCACCCTACTGGTCACGCTGGGCAGTGCTCCCCCAGAACAAACGCCAGCACGGCACTCTGAACCGGTTGCCAAGCGTGCATCATGCCCCTCCCCCTCCATTTCACGTGCCGTGAGGCCCCCAGGACCCCTTCCAATTGACGCCAAGCGACGACGGATCTGCCCAATCTTGCGTCGGGGCCTTGGAGGTGGTGGCGACAGGGAGTCTCTGGGCCAATCCCGTGATGTCGGCCCTCCCTCTTCCCCTCCCCCAGCGACAGCACCCTGGGTTGTATCTTCTTGGTACGCTGCTCAGCCCGGCGGAGCCAAGTGAGGCCTCAGACAGTGAGGCCTCAGATAAGTGAGGTCTCAGAGAGGCCTCAGAGAGGCCTCATCGGCGTATACGCAAGTGTCGATGGGGCTTTTTGGCTCCCTCTTCCTTCGCGTCCACTGCCGTAAGTCGGCCATGCAGGAGATCAATGCGGTGCTCTTGATCAACGAATCGTGACACGCATGCTATCATCCCATCGACGAATCGAACAGTAGGACAAGAAGCGCCGGCCACCTCATCCAGACTAGGTCATCACTTTGTCAAAAAGCCAAGCCAACCTTGCTCCAATGACCTACACAAGCAAGCCCAAGTTACATCGAACCTTTTGTACCGCTACACTCGTACCCTGGGAGGAGTCTGTATCCAAGCACCCCTACCAGTGGTATGGATTGAGCCCGATTGACTGGCTATCAGCGAACCCGCTTGGATACCTTCCGGCAAACAAACTTTGGCCATTCGCCCTAGCCTCGACGCCTTCTCGGCCAGCGTTCATGGATGACGGGCCCCGTCATGATAGGAACGGAGGTGAAGCGCATTCCCGTTCCAGCTCAACAACCAAATTTCGTCACAAGTTTCTATATTTACACAATATTTACACAATACTCAACGATGGCGAGCCTCTCACAGGGCAGGGGCAGGAAAATTCTGTCGCCATCTCAACATCTTTTGAATAGTGTCATTCCAGCCGGCAGGTACCCAGCATAATGCTTCCATTCCCGAGCCAAGATGTTTACTCTTCCCTTGCCCCTTTCCCCCCCCGTTGTACACGTCGGCCTTGGTGGCTACCCTTGACTAAATTGAGGTGGCGGCAGGGATTGCGACACACATACCAGTTTGGCCTGTATTGAGTTGCGGGTTGCAGATGGAATACAATGATGTGCTCACGCACACACACAGACTTCCCTCTCCCTGCGCCCTCCATAACAATGGGGAGGGGCTGGCCGATACGTGGCAGTCATCCTGGTCTCATCTCATCTCCCGTCCGGTCGAATTCGCGAGACATTCCGGTGGCTGGAGGCTCAATGTTTCACTCGCGGCCAATTGTAGAATTGACTTTGATGAATTTGCTGCCACTAAGACGTTCTCGCCCGGCGGGCGACGTAGAGGAATAATGAGAATTACGTGAATGTCTACATCAGTGATTGTTGATTCTTTCCGTCTTCAATGGAAACTCAACGAAAACGACCTAAACTCAGTGAATGGGTACATCGATTCCAGAGCCACTGCCTTTTTGGGTTGGTTGGCGTATTAAGGGTTTGAGTAGATCCATCACCAAGCAGAAAACGCAAAGTTGAAAGATGGAGGCTTGAGGTACAGGGTAGCTGTGCGTTTTGGACGACGATGAATGTCTCGGATCAACATCGGATAATAAAGTCCCCCCCTCCCGCAAGGCACATCATGCCCTGACGATCTTTGGGCTCTTAAGATGCAAAGTCTAGATTGACTACTTACTTTTATATGGCAGATTGTAAACAGATCCAAAAACTTGATCCTTGGCCTCTGTTTCCTGTAAATATTCTAAGAACTAAGGGAAAATTGAGGCACTTGTAGTTGGCGAACTAGGACGCACCTGCCATTTACTTGCAGCACTCCACTATCAGAGCTGTTACAGGCACTTTTCCAGCACAAGACAATCTTCGCAGCCAAAAATTTGCCCAACCATCGAGCGTCAATGTGATCACAACTTCAGTCCTTGGGAACGAGGAAAAAATCATACTAGTCCACAGATCCTCGATATCGTAATCTCATTTCAAAAACAGGCTAACCAAAGAAAATCGCCTGGGCGTGTGACGCTGACTACGGCACAAGTGTGCAGACTGAGTCACTCCCCGTAACGTCGATGCATGGCCAATGGTCAACTGGCTCACAGCCCACATCACTCGACTTTGAGTCATTGTTCAGTGCGAACCTTACATCGAGTGTATGTGGCGGCGCCTGCATATTGGCGACCTCGGAATGAAAAGGAAGCTTGGGGACTTTCTCAGAGACTCAAAACAGTCCCCCAGCTTCTACACACGCTACGCATCAACATCCCCCTCACACAGAGCAAAAGCGGCAAAGATGGCAACCGACATCAAGCTCGAGCTCTCAGACAAGGAGCAGCAGCTCCGCGGTCTGCTCCTCGATGTCGCCCGGTCCATCGACGAGTCGGCGGCAGGGCAGGGCCCAGCCGAGCCAGTGACCCTGCGCTGGGCGGGCGGCTGGGTTCGTGACCGGCTGCTGGGCATCGAGAGCCACGACATCGACGTGGCCATCAACTCCATGACGGGCATCCACTTCGCCCAGCACATGCGCGACTACTGCGAGACGCCCGAGGCAAAGGCCAAGCACGGCATCAACGACAAGGACGTGGGCAACCTGCACCACGTCGCCAGCAACCCCGAGAAGTCCAAGCACCTCGAGACGGCCATGGTGCGCATGTTCGGGCTCGACCTGGACTTTGTCAACCTGCGCAAGGAGACGTACACGGACCAGAGCCGGAACCCGCAGATGGAGTTTGGCACGGCCGAGGAGGATGCGCTCCGGCGGGATGCCACCATCAACGCCCTCTTCTACAACCTCAACAAGGACATTGTGGAGGACTTCACGGGGGGAGTTCCCGACATGGCTGCCAAGCTTATCAAGACTCCTCTCGAGCCTTTGCAGACCTTCACTGATGACCCTCTACGGATTTTGCGCCTGGTGAGATTCGCCAGTCGTCTGCAGTTCAGCATTGACCCAGAAACGGAAAAGTTCATGGGGGATTCCAAGGTTTTGGAGGCTCTGCGAGTCAAAATTAGCCGAGAAAGAGTAGGCATTGAGCTAGAGAAGATGTTGCAAGGTATGTTATTCCCCGCCTACTTTAGAGTCAACTGGAAAATCTAAAAAGTCCCACAGGAAAACACCCCGCCCAGGCTCTGCGGTTCATCAACCGCCTAGGTCTATACCGTGCCATTTTCAGCGACCCAGACCAGGAACCCCCTGAGCTCACCCTGCTCCCGCGATGGGCTGTGGCCTACGAGTGCCTGGATAGCCTCATCAAGCAACAGACCCCCCAGTCCATTGCCGACCTCCTTATCAGAACCGACGATGCCACCTACACAGCATGGAACCTCGCGGCCATGGCTCCATGGATGCTTATTCAAGATCCTCCGAATGTGACCCGGAAGGCCAGCCAGCCTCCCCCGGTTGGGGTGATCGCACGTAACGGATTCAGGGCTCCAAACAGGCTAGTGGACGTGATTGGTGCTGCACATCGCCATCGGGAAGAGATCCTGAAGCTGAAGCTGGCCGTCAAGGCTGGCGAGGCGTGGGTCAAGGAGAGAGATACGGTCGGCATGATGATCCGACGGTGGGACCACTTTGGTTCCTGGAAGCTTCAAGTTCTAAGCGCACTCCTCGTAGATGCCATGGAGCAGCTCGAGGAATGGAAAGAGCATAGTACCAAGGGTGAGTTTTCTATCTGTAGAGAGGTACCGTTGCTCCTCACGAAGAACATCTCTAACAAGTGCAATAGAACAAGACGACTTCCTCCGAGACTGGCAGAATCTCTTGGACCATCTCGTCGAGCTGGACGTGGTCGACGCCCCTAATATCAAACGACTCGTTGACGGGCGGGCGTTGAGTAAGGCTCTGGGTATTAAACCGGGTGTCTGGACCGGGAAAGCCCTGGATGTCTGCATGGGATGGCAGCTGCGAAACCCCAACGAGACAGATATTGCTGGAGCTGTCGAGGAGGTACGGAAGAAGAAGGATGAGTTGGGGATCCCCATCTGAAATCCCAACGACTTGTGATGGCATAGAAAACAACTCCTAGATACCACAATGATAGACGAAATCACGAACTCCAATCAATCAGTTGAAATGGATTAAGCAACTTCAGATCGTTCAATTTAAATTGCAGTTGTCGTTTTGTCCAATCCTTAGGATTTGAGTGTACAGTGCGTGTTGATAAACCGAGAGTATCCGCACTGTAGAACCCACCATTGATGATCAATCTTGACTTCCACTGCCTCAGTAGCTGTACCACACTTGTTCCGCCTTGTTGATCCTCTTCTTTTCTTCAAATCTGGCAGACCAAACAATTCCCTCTTAGTAAGTCATGTTGGATTCGGACCCTCTGCATGCCGGGCGAAAGGCGCCTTCCCCGCAGCTTGGCTCGGCAAATCAAGCTCGAGTAGATATTCTTGGAAAAGGTTGGACTCCCCGCTGCTCCTGAGTACAACCATGAGAACGCAAGGTCTATATTTAATTGCAATATCTGACAATGCACTCACAGGAATTGAGAACAACTTCTCATTCAGTGATGTAGTAGATGGCCTGTCAACAGACATCTCCGAACAGGTATTAGGCTGCCATCGATCGAGGTCATCTCAACTTCAGGGTCCCCGCTAATAGCAATGTTCTGGAAGGATCTCGACTCGCTGTTAAGTGTGTACTTCAAATTATCACACCTATCTCAGAAGCAGTCCATTCTCTCTGAGGAGGAGGAAGATTCAGCACGCCGGCTTCTTGAGCTCCTGGCGAAGAAAATCACCAATGAGGATGACGCAGGTAGGGACAGAACACTATTTCTTCTTCCTATCTATGACGAAGTGTTTAGATTCCTGTGCTAATACTAGACAGGGAGCAAAGACTTGGCCCAGATAAACGAGGCCACTCTAGCCTGCCTGTATATCTTGACGAGCAGTTGGAAAATTCCCCTCTCAGTGGACTCCCTCATCCAGATCGCGGCATTCACAAATCCAAGCGATCCCTGGGTAACAGACGAGGCATCTTCCTTTGCAACAGCCATCCTCTCACCAGAATACGTAGCTTCATCAAATGCCGCCGACGTATCCACCTTCATCACCCGGTCTATCCTGCAAGACTACCTCCGCCCCATCTTCTCCAAAGCAACGACCCGAGTCACCTCCTCCGGAAGACCAACCCAGTTCCCGGACCCCGATCCAAGCCCCCATCGTCAGGGCGTCGAGCCACCCGCCTGGAAAAAGCATGGCTTCAGGATAATCCCCATCTTTCGTTGGGCCGTCAATACTGCAGATGCAAGTTTATCACGTTCTCGTTATTTCTCAAACTCACAGCTAACCACTGATTTATTATTAGGAAGAACTAGTCGCTAACAACTGGTTTCTCTTCGCGCCCGTCCTCCTAGCCCTCGTCGAGGATGCAGACTCGTCAACGAGGCAGGCAGGCCTGGAGATACTCGCCAACTTCATCCGCAACTGTCCTCTCAAGATCCTCCAGTCAACAGGCATCGGCACGGTCTTCCAGGAAGCCATCTTCCCGTCGCTCCTCTACCTCCCCAGCCTAACGCCCGAGGAAGAGTCAGTCCCGCTCATCAACGCCGCGTACCAGGCGCTCCTGGCACTAGCACAGCAAGAAACAGACCCTCGCAGCCCGTCAAGGCGCAAGTTGCTGGATAAGGTGTTTAGGGATGGCATCTTCACGGCCTATTTCCATGCTTCGGAATACATTTCAGTCGTGGAGACGCTGATGAAGAACACGGCCGCCATCCTCGATTGTTTGGAAGTGTACTCCGTCAAACACCTCCAGGTGGGTTGTCAAGCCCCCCATTCTCCCAAAAACTCCAAGCCGAATCTCTAACCCACCATTTATCAAAATAGAATCTGCTCCCCATGTTCTCTTCAGTGTTAACAGACCCCTTCATTATATCCCGCCCGACCGCGCTCCTCGAAGCGGTCAAGACCCTCAACGCCTGCCTCCGGAACTGCTGGCCAAGAATATCGTCCGAACCCAAGTACACAGCTGAGGTGATACGCATCATATCTATATGCTGGCTGAACCTGTACGACGGCGAGTTAGCATCTCGCCCATCGAGCCGGGACCTGACTCTACTTACGGATGAGCTGCGACGAAGCGCCGATATAATGCACGCATTGAGTAAGACTGAGAATTCGTCTCAGATATCAACCGACCTGGTGCCCATCCTGCAAAAGGAGCCCAGACTATCCAAGCTCTTCTCCTGGGTACCGAACGGTCCCTAGAATCCTTCCCCTCTTAAAACAATGTACGTCCTCTTTTCGAGCCCAAGCCCTCCTTTCAATCGACGGGCTGCTGCTTGAAAAACGACTTTCCGCGGAGCCACTTCCCGTAAGCCTTGTACCTCTTCTTAGGGGCGTCCTCTTCGGCCACGGTGAGGGGATTCTCCGCAATCTTGATCAGCTCGGCGTACACGTCAATCTCCTCCTCCGTCCCCGTCACCATGAGCCCCTGCGTGCTCCAGTCGCCCTCGATGTACTCGGTGTACTCGGACGAGTCAATGTCCGCGGGCGTGTCCGTCGACACGACAAGAGGGATCGTCTGCGGGTGGCGAACATATCGCTCATAGTCCTGCGCCTCCTGGTCCTGGACGGACGGGTTGAGCGAATCGTGCACCGCCTTGGTGAAGGTCCACTGCTCCTCCTTGGTCTTCTCCTGCTGCGTCGGCTTGCCCGTGGCCTCCTCGATGGAGCTCAGGCCGTCCCTGCCCTGCGCCGCCCCCAGGTCCTTCTCCTGCGCCGGGTGCAGCCAGCGCTGCAGCGACATGCCCCTGGGACCGCTGTTCTGCCCAGGCGCAATCGACGCGGCGGCGTCGTCGGCGCCGGTGTTGTTGCCCGAGCCCGCGCTTAGTAGGGTGACCTCCTTCTTCACCCGTTTCTTCTCGGTGTACACTTCGCCGTCCGTACGTACTCGGAACGGGCTGAGGTCGTACCGACCGTCCTGGGTGGATTTCAATGGAATGTACTTTATGGTAGAGTTCATCTTGAACGCGAACATTTTAGGGAAGGAGGATAGGGTAGCTGGTCGATAGTACTCGAGCCAATAATCATCAAAGAATTCAACAGGCTGCGATGCGGTGCCCCCTCTCAAAGGCACGAACGGGGGCAACTCTCGCTTTTCGAGATGCTTTGGCGTGAACCAGTCAATGTAGTCACGCTTGGGCTTATCGGACCATTCTCGGGGGTCTGCGTGATGCAGGTAGTAGTCTGTGACCAGGTCCCAGAGCATCGGCTGCCCCTGGGAGAAGATGTAGTTTCCCAGGAAGAGGTTGTAGGCCTCCTGTCGCTGGCTGTCGAGGAAGGAGTTGTTGTAGTATCGCTTGAAACTCTCAATCATGTCTCGAGAATGGCTCGTCCACTGATTAATCTTTCGATATGTTTCCATAGTGTTCACCAGCTGAGAGCCACCGTACTGCACGGCAATGGTATCTCCGTGGTCATGCCACATGTGCGTAAAAAGATTCACGGCGTCTGTGTCGTACTCGACCGTGTTGTTCTCCAGGATGCCCAAAGCGTGGAGCTGGCGACCAAGAGCACGCTTCCCAATGACAAACTGGGCCGCATTGGTTCGATCAAGGCAGTCGATGCAGTTGGTTCGAGCAATCCCATTCTGCGCCGACATGGGGCTTGTCCTGCCGTCTCCATTCTGGAAGAACCCGGTCGTATTAAGAACAGATTCAGCAATGTCCTCGAGATTTCCAATGACATCGCCGCCTCTCACTTTCGACGCACGGCTCATATCCCAAGCCTTGTGAATAATCTTACAATCCTTGGGCAGAAACTGATTGAGATAGTTTATAGCGTGTGTGTATTCTTGGAGCAGCTTCGACTCGCGAGGTTGCCGCTCCTTGGCTTTGATAAGGTTGACGACGTATATAGGTCCTCCGTACCTCTCAAACAAGTTGTCGAAATGGGTAGCAGCGGCAGAGAAAAAGGGGTCGATCAAATTCAGCTCAATGGGGGGTTTAGGGGTAACGCCTGTGTTGTCTTGAGACCAGTATAGAGGTATGCTGCCACGATGCTGGACATACGACGTGTATTGGGGACTGCAGTATAGTCGAGGGCCGGGAGAATGGAATGATGTCGTCAGGGACTCGGCGACGATCTGTTCCGTCTCAACATCATTCGCAACGTAGCCGAGGTCATTTGCTCCTCTCTTGAGAAAGCGCGCTCCAGCAAAGTACCGAGAACGCCTGGCAATAACTGTAATATGCGCCGTCCTTCCGTAGATTGAAAGCGCCGCCTGGTCAATGTACCCGTGGATGATGGGACGACACCAATCATACGGATCTCTAAGAGCTTCCGCAGCCGGCTGGAGAAGATAATCGTTCCAGACAAACATGGAATTACAGTCCTCCTCGTTGATGGACAACATGCCCTTGCCCAGGGCGTTTCGTTCTCGAGTAATGTTGTGCTGCAGAGTGTGGGTTATGTCATAAGAATAACTATAATAAAACGATCGAGTCAAGTCGAGGTTGTTGAGGATACCCAGAAACCGCTGCTCCTCCGAATTCTTCCCGTCCGGCTTGAACTTGGCCGGCGTCAGCGGAACAAGCTCCGTGCCCTCGATCTGATACACGTAGTGGCCGCCAATCATGGCCACCGTGCTCTTCTTGGTGATGAGCAACATGTAGTATGGCCCGGTGAACTTGATGAATCCAAGCAGACCCCAGGTGGTGCAACGGAGCTTTATGCCGCCCGTGCCCTTGTTCCCGTCGTCGATGGTGTCGAGCAGCTGGCTCATCTGCTTCAGGCTGTACACAATCTTATCGTCGGTCATGTTCAACTCGGCGCCAGCGGTGGTGCGGTCGATCTTGAGAATCCTGTACCACTTCTCGCTCACGTCGACGCCGACAATATAATACCGGCTAGCGGTCTCGTACAAACTGAACTTGTGCATCTTGTAGCTCAGCCGGTCCGGGGTCTTGTCGTCGAAGGCGGCGCCAACAGTGGCAGGAGTTCGGAGGGCCGAGTCGGGGCTGGACGTCCGGATGAAGGGCTTTGCGACAGAAGGCTCGTCGTCGTTGTCCTCCTCGTTCAGCCTCCCGGGGCCGTTGGCGGCATCGGACTGGGCTGGGCTGGCGGCATTGTTGTTCTGCAGCATCGGGAAGACGCGGTCTTCTTTGGGCGTCTCGGGGCCACTCTTGGCTGCGATCTCGCTCGCGGAGGAGCTCGCAGGCTCTTTGGTCGTTGTTGAGTCCGCCATCTCGGCTGGACAGTGGTTGGCTAACGTCGGGAAGCCCAGGTCATGGCGGCAATGTAGGATCTATTGGTCGATGATTCATACGCAGGTGGTTGAGTAGCCGTGAGTTGGTGATGGCGGAGCGTTCGTCAGGCTCGTTGCGAATGATATTATCTCGCAATAGACCAGCCACTAAGCTTAAGTCTCGGCTCGTGACTCGATCACCGGGGCCTGGGTTGCAGCTGGGGCGCAAGGCGTATGGATGTATGGATGTAGATGTAGATGTGGTTGTCGAAGCTGAGGGACTGCTCTAGAGCTCTCCAATAACCTGTCGCACGTCGCCGAAACGGTATGACGTCCTTTGTTAAGGGATCGATGGTGGGGCCTTCCCATGCAGTAGCGCCGCTGTACCCGTCAACCATCAGTCAGTTACTGCCAGTAGCAGATATATATATAGCAATCAACACATCAATTTGAATTATCAAGCATCTAATAGCCGGGATGTGCTGCATTTCAGTCTTACCATCGTCATGTGCGCCTCGAGCGGGAGACTGGCTCCCGCGGTGCAGTCACACCCATCGGCCAGAAGCATCTGGCACAGTCACAAGACTCGGGCCGTGGCTCTATAGACTCAGCTTGAAGTCAGATCATGCCTCTATTTGATCTCGCCCTTACTAACCCAACCCCCCTAGACAGATGAACAACCCTGTACAAGCTCACTTCATCTCATTCAGAAAATGGATCGCAAATCGAAAAGCCATCTACAGAGGGTCTATCATTAAGTTGTAACCCTGGTCAACCGAACACCCCCCTCAACCGAATACCCAGATAAAAATTATAATAGATTTAAAAATTAATATAATAATATTAATTTAATAAATTTTTATATAAGAAGCTATTTAATTTATTACTAGAAGTATAGCTCTTTAAAAATATAATTTTCTAATTCCTCTAGTATCTCTATTTTATCCGGGATTATATTATATTATACTATTTATTTAGCTAGCTATTTAATTATTAAGAACTTACTATTTAGATTAGGAAGTAATTAAGTCTATTTTTTTAGTCTAAATATCTTATTTTATCTCTCTAATTATATAATCTTTACTATATTAAGTAATATCTTTACTTATTATTTATTAAAACCCTTATAAATCTTCCGAAATAGTAGTTTTATTAGTAGATTAATAATCTTATTATTAATAAAATTATAAATAATCTTCTAGATCTAGTAACTATTCTTAGGTATTAAAATATCCAGTTTATAATAATCTTTATACTTTATTCTAATCCTTAGAGAAATTAAGAAAGAAATTAAAAGTAGTTAAAAAGATCTAAATATTAGCTTTATTATATATAGGCTTATTAAGGGTTTAGCTATATTAATAAGCTATAAGCTAGATTATTATAAATTATATTATTATATATTAAAATTATATAGATTACCCTACTTTTTCTAACTAATTACTAATAGATTATTAGGATCTTATAATAATCCTAATAATCCAGGATAATAGATTATTACTAAGTATTAATAATCCTCTAGTATATATATATATTTATTCTACTAGATAGAAATACCCCTTAGATAGTTATTAATATAATTATCTATATATCTATTATTACTAGCTTTATAATACTTATATATTAATAGTAACTTATATTATATAGCCTAAGATAATCTGATTATACTACTCAGAATAATACTCTAATTAGTTTAATTCTAATCTACCCTAGATCCTATTTAATATAAGTTATCTAACTATTATATATTAATAACTCTTATTCAGCTAATTACCTTATCTTAATTACTATATAATAATAAAGAAGATATTATAGCTATTATAGTTCCTCTAGTCTAGTAGTAATACCCTATTATTAATAACCTACCTGCTCTATATACTAAGAATACTATAGATAAAGATAATAGTAGTAGTAGTAATAGTAATAGAAATAATAATACTAAGATTAAGCTTCTATAAGTCTAGATCCTTTAGCTTTAGGAATATCTTATAATTATATAGTAAGAAATAGCTATTACTAC